TTAGGAGCTGTTATGTAACACCCGCCGTAATGATGCGTGAGAAAGATGGCGTCATCTACATGTAGAGCCTTTTAGGAATTTTTTATTATATTTCACTCCATACCATGGTATGGATGAAATATATTATTTTCTCTCGTGTGTCTCCTCCTCGTCCTGCCATTATGTCAAATGGATTCAACTTTGTCAGGTTTCATGGAGGTAGCGTTCTCCTTTTTTTTTTTACAAAATCAGGCGAAAATTAACGCGCGCTGATGTCATCCATAAAATTACTTAAAGATTTGGATTCCAGGCTTGTTATTCAAATGTTACAACCCAGGTTATTGTTTACGTTAGCACATTATAGAAAAAATTAAGCTGCTCTATCATTGCGTTGCAGCTGTGCTTTACATTTTTACGATGAACAACGCAAATGACAGTTTTGTCATTGACCATCTTACCCCCACGCAAGCTGAACTTATGAATTCCTGATACATTCTATCATGAGAGGTCGGATCTGGTCATGGGCAAACGCATAAAGTAAAAAGCACTTCGCCAGTAGGGGTCAAAATATTCATTCTATAGTATCATCTGGAGTATGATGATGATCTGGAGTATGTAGTAAACCTGACTAACTAAAGACGTAATGGCGTGCTTCGATGTGGCACTGAAAATCAGACAAATGCATTTATTCTAAAGGGCAGATACCACTACTAGGTTTGGCATTTGAAACCTATACTTAAATGCTAAAAAAAACAAGGACTTACAAAGTACTTTTCCACACTTTAATCTCAACAATTCTACTGCAACAGAAAGTCACAAGGGTCTGTAGCAAAAATGTAGAAATAAATATTTCTTTAAAAAGGTATTTCAATTTTTGGTGCAAAAATGTCACATAATGCTCATTTGAAGACAGACGTGAATAGCCAAACTGAATAACCCTATCCTTACACATTTGTCCACCATGCTTGGTATATATCGGAGGCAAATTAGTAAAAATCATACTTTCTATGAGATGTATTAAATAAGGAAATTTCTCGAAGGCTAAACTGTAATCTGATGTTAGCGCCAACAATTGACGCATGCTTTTAACCCTAACCGTGACCCCTCCTATCGCCCCCATCCAACATTTACTCCTCACCGGTGTGTGTACGGGGGACCTGGCGCCAAAATCACTCGCCTTCCGGGCATGAATCCAGGTTTACTACGTGCACTTCATGGTGAAGTGTTTAATATGAGGACTAGGGCAACGACAAAGCGATAACAAACATTGACTCGAAAGCTTGAAACTGCTTTGAACACTCTCTCTACGATTTTACTACTAAAACTGGCGATTTTTTCATATTCTAACATTTCATGACTAGACATGGTGACAGCACAATCAAGTTATATCAACTTCTTTTATGCCGCCACCAACGCAGATGACGAATACAGGACAGGACCATACTCCTTTTCACTTGCGTTAAGTGAGGAAAGTCGTGTAAAGTGCCTTTCCTTTCGGTGGCATGTCAGGACTCGTACCCGGGACCTCTTGCTTAATTGGTCCCGAGTCGAGTACACTGCCGCTACGCCACATGACCAAACACGGCTACGCCACACGACCCCACAATGGTGATTTTTTTATTGACATCCCAATTGAAGTTTAAACGTTTTGGCTGTCTTTTTAAGCGAATTCGGAATGACAGGAGTCTCTACCCACCACACACCACATTAATCAAACTTGAAAAGTCCTGACAGTCTTATTAAGCGAATATCTTACAACAAGAGACTCTACCCCCCCCCCTACACACACACAGCTAAATTAAAGTTAACCCATTGATCTTATGTGGCATTAAAAGTTGAAACGTTGAAAAGTTCTGACAGTGTTTCTAAGCCAGTCATCTTAAAGTACGACCCTCTGCCCTACCCTGCATTAAATGACTGAGGGTTTGAAATTCTGATCTCAGACCATAGATTTGGTA